TCCTGCCCTCCCATTGCTGCCTCTGATACAGAGGCAGCACAGTGGAGGGAGGACCAAGTAGTCCAGTACTCCCATCCCTGGTTAGTAGCTGTTAAGCCAAACTGGGGCTTGAACGCTGTTGCAGACTCTCTGGGGGGGTGCAGCCTCTACCTCCAGCCAGGGCCGTGGGGCCAGAGCAGGCCAAGTCGGGGCAGTTCTGCTCCCACGGTGGCTCTCCTGGCCGGATTGCTGTGAGAGTGTCGCCCTGTCCCGGGAGTGCTGGGGGCTCCCTGATCTCCTCTGGGTTTTTCTCTCGCCAGATCTATCGCAAGGTCCCCAGCACGCACCCGGGGAAGGGTGGACAAACCCGGGGCCGGGGACGAGCGTTTCTGCACGTAGAAAGCAGCAGCCACTGCCAAGGTGGTGGGCGCTCGAGCATGGGAAGCAGTGGAGGGGGGCTGGGGACTGTTTGTTCCTGGGTCGTAGGCAATGGCAGAGCCGGGGCTGGGAGCTGAAGCAAGGTCCGCTGATGCCTTTTGTGCCAGGCTGCAAGGGCAGCGGGTGCACGCTGCTCACTTGAAAAGGGCAAATATTGTGCTCATCTATAAAAAGGGGAATAAGAACAACCCAGGAAACTACAGACCGGTCAGTTTAACGTCTGTCCCAGGGAAGATAATGGAGCAGGTAATTAAGGAAATCATATGCAAACACTTGGAAGGTAATAAAGTGATAGGGAATAGCCAGCATGGGTTTGTGAAGAACAAGTCATGCCAAACTAATCTGATAGCTTTCTTTGATAAGATAACGAGCCTTGTGGATAAGGGAGAAGCGGTGGATGTCATATACCTAGACTTTAGTAAGGCATTTGATACGGTCTCGCATGATATTCTTATTGATAAACTAGGCAAATATAACTTAGATAGGGCCACAATAAGATGGGTGCATAATTGGCTGGATAACCATAGTCAGAGAGTTGTTGTTAACCTCTAAAAATTTGAAATGTAGGTCAGACCCCTTTGGAAATCTTAGATGTACTCTGTGGACCCCCATGTTGTCCACAGATCACAGTTGAAAAATCACTGTTCTATGGCAAAGCATGACGGGAAACTCTGCGGCCTCCCCACCTGCCCTGCGCGTGTCCTGCCCTCAGTGATCCCCTCGCTCGGGCCCTGCCTGCGAGGCCGTAAATCTGCCACTCACGGGGGCTGTGTTCTGACCCTCTCTTAATGGCTGGGGATCCCCCCCGGGGCGGAGAGGGGTGCGTCCGTTCTGGCCCGCCCCATCCTAAACAACTGGGCCGAGACCGCAGCCATGATATTGGAGCTGTGCGGGTGCCCTGGCGCTCGCTTTGCGGAGAGACGCTTGTGTGGTTCAGAGCGCTCCGAGGCGGGGAGAGGCGCTCTGTCTCCCGATGGCCGTGTCTGGTCCCTATGATAAGTACAGAGCTTATTTCTCAGCAGCCGTTAGGGGGTGGGGGGTGTGTGTGGGGGGGGAGGCTCCTATCTGAGCAGTGACCCTGCAGTCTGCTGCCCAGTCTGGGGGGCGCTGCAACGTCTCTGGCTCTGAATGCAGCAGTGCAGAACCCCCCGGGACTTGGTGAGGAACAAGCCCCCCCCAGTGGGCACCTTGGGATAGAAAATGTGGCTCTGGATCCCCCTTGGGGCGTAGTTTTCCCATCAGTCCATGCAGGGAGGGGCCGTTGCTACCAGGAGATGCGCTGGTCACTGGTAGCGAGCCCTCCGGCGCGGGCAGCAGGAGCAGGAGACAGAGAAGGGGCCAGCTGGGTGGTAGTGGAGCGAAAGGAGGCAGATCTTGAGTCCGCCAATCCTGGTGAGGAGGAGGGGCTTGTTGGAGCCACGCCCCCATCCCTCTCGTTCGGGCCCTGGCTCCTGCCGGCAGCTTGGGGCCGTGTCCTCGGGCTGGTAACGAGCTGGCTGCGGCCGGAGGAGATTGCGCCCCTTGAACCCCATCCCATTTCCTTTCGCCCCGGCCCTCTCCGCGGTGGAGGGGGACTGTGCTTTCGGGGGGGTGCCCGCCGGCCCCGCGAGTAGTGTCCCG